CCCAGCGTACGCGCTGCTGCGTCCCTGCAGCAGGCCCCGGCTCGGGGGGTTTGGGCCCAGGCGCCAGAGCCACAGCCGCCGAGCTTGGCCATTGGCCGCTTCCTCCCGCCACGGCAGTGGGAGCTGCAGCAGCGGCTGCTCCCGAGTCCCGCTGCCCGGGGGGAAGAACAGCCGCCGCCTGGCCCCGCGGGCCGCCCCCCTCCTCTCCCAACCACCAACTGAGTCCTGCCTGCTCGGGGCCAGGCCGGACTCTTACTCACCCCGGCCCCGCGCTTCCCCTGCGTCTCCCGGGCCTCCCTCCAGCGCTTGTGGAGGAAAGGTGGGTTTTTTTTTGTCCCGCCCCCCTGCCGCGCCCCCCCCGCGTCACCCTCCCCCCTCCCCCCGCGTCCTGATATTTGACTTGGGTGATCTGGTCACCCTAGAACAAGGCCTCAGACTATCCCAGTGAGCGAAGGCCCAGACACAGGTGGACTGTGATTCTGATTCTTGTTTTGTACGTCTATAACTAGCTAAGTGATAAGAATACATCTAAATTCGTAAAGTCTAGGCCTTTGCAGACAGTCCTGAATATATTTATCCTAACAAGGGCACCCACTGGGTCAATTTCATCCCGGTCTCCAGTCAGTGCCAATCCCTGGGTCCTTGAGCACCATGGCAGTTTGGAGGTGCAGGGGGAGGGGTGCTAGCCGTGATATGGGGAGGGAGGGATGGGGGATCCCAGGCAATCAATAGAAGTTGCTTCAGTTCATATCAGGATTTGATCACCTGGGGTGTTTAATTAAAACCCAGATTTAGGGCCAGGACTGTAACATTCGTCAGTATCATAGAAACATCGATTCCGAGCCCAGAGGGGGCGACTGATTGTCTAGTCTGATCCCCAGCAGAACACTGGCCATGGAACAGCCCTGGATTAACCCTGCTTGGACTAGGGCAGCTCTGTTAGAAAAGACACCTCGTCCAGACTGAAAAATCACCAGTGGTGGCACATCCCTCTGCCCCTGTCTGGGTGCCGGGAGCCAGGACGTAGGTGGTCTGGCCTGATTGTCTGAGCAGGGCCGGAACTAGGAACAAGTTCAGAGCAAGGCAGGAAGCAGGATGGGAGCGGAGCAGGAACAGGGCTGGAGGCAGATTTCAGGAGCCAGGCAAAGAGCAGGGTCCCACGCAGCAGCAGGACGTCACAGCTGTTCTGACGGCCCCCAGCCAGGTCATTTCCTGATTTAGATAATGGGTGCCAGCCAATCAGGTAACCCCAAGCCTTGGGTATCCCGTCAGGCCATCCTATGCGGCCAGACATGCCAGCATTACTGGCAGCTGCTTCATCTGTCTCCCTTGGTGATGAAGAGGAAGCATCAGAGACCCTGGTTCCCCCCTGCCCTGGGCTCCAGACCTGCCCTCTCAGGTCCTTACGACACATCCCAGTGCGCTTCATGGGTCTCAATCCATCCACCCTGGCACCACTCCAATGGAGAAACTGGAGCCCTTTGGAAGGAGGGCACCAGAACTGAGCAGAGCAGCTTGGAATGAAGGGGAGGAGGGAGAACCTTTGCCACCTTTGAGGAACAGTGGGCGCTGTCCGGGGTTCTCTGCTCGGTGTCCGCATTGCGTACCCTGATTTTGAACCTTTGACCGTCACCTCACTCCCTGTTTTTTCATTAGTTGTCCCAAGAAATTACTTGGTTCCTGGGTCCAGTGGTTCCTCCCACTAGGCTGGGGGAGGGGCCTTTAGAAGTGAGCGGGGAAGCCCGCCCACCTCCCAGTTGATACCAATAGGGCTCAGGGGGCAGGAACTTATTTCATACTGGGGGGTTATTATTTACTTGAGTAGGATGTCATTTCTAAAGAACATTCTTGCCACCCTCCCCCACCCCCCTTCAGTCCGTCCATCTGCCTCCAAACTCACTCTGAGCTCACAGTACTTGATATTCCTAAGTGATGAATCTGGGACCGTGCTCCAAGTACCGCGTGTGACACAGCTCAGTTTCTCAGCTCCAGATGGGGCCCTCAGTTTCAATCCCTGTCTCTGCTCACTGTCACTCCCTGGGTCTCTGGATTCCCTGGTGTGTTTGGAGGAGACATAGGTGCTACTTTGGATTTCGGGGGCTGCCAGTCAGTAGTAACATTTGAAAGCTTAGGGAGATTTAAGGAAACAAACTCCAAATCTCCCCCATCTCTGGTCTCTGTCAGGCCCTGGTGTCATAGAATCATAGAATATCAGGGTTGGGAGGGACCTCAGGAAGTCATCTAGTCAACCCCCTGCTCAAAGCAGGACCAATCGCCAACTAAATCATCCCAGCCAGGGCTTTGTCAAGCCTGACCTTAAAACCTCTAAGGAAGGAGATTCCACTGTTATATCCTTGGGGGCAACAGTTTTAGGAAGAAATCACTGGAGACACAGAGAGCTGTA